GTTGAGCTATAGGCACCAAGCCCCAAATTTAACTTTTAATGAGAAAAATGAAGTCTTAGGGTGGAGCCTGTGGCTCAGTGAGTGGGGCACCAGCCCTGGCCAAACCACAACAAAAAAAAAGCTGGGCCTTGTAGAGGACACCTGTAGTCCCAGCTATTCAGGAGGCTGAGGCAAAAGAACTGCCTAAGCCCAAGAGCTGGAAGTTGCTGTGAGCTGTGACACCACAGCACTCTACTGAGGGCGACAAAGTGAGACTCTGTCTTGTAAAAAAAAAAAAATAGTCTTAGATGAAGCTAGAAAGTGGGGTGATTTGTGGTTCATGTCCAATACTGATGGCAGTATGTCTCCTGAGGAAAGGGACAGATACCCCATGAGAAGACTGATAGTTCCCTTTTAGGATCCCAAATGGGACCCCGAGAAACAAGGTGACTGGTGGAGTAAACATCTTCTAACATGTATCCTAAAAGGTTTATGACAATCCAAGAAAAAACCCATGAACTATTCTAAGTTGTCTATTATTTGCCAGGAGCAAAATGAGCAGCTTAGGGAGGCAATGAGAAAATACACCCAGTTAACATCTGACTCCTAAGGAGGGCCAAATTATTTTAAAAGATAAATTTATCACTCAGGCGGCCCCAGACATTCAAAGAAAACTCCAGAAATTGGCTCTAGGCCCAGATCATAACCTAGAGAATCTTCTTAAAATGGCCACAGTGGTCTTTTATAATCGAGATCAGGAGAAAGAGAAAGAAAAAGAGAGAAGGGATAAAAGAATGACAGCTCTAGTAATGGCACTCCAACAAACAGGCACCATTCAGGGGCAGAGGGAAGCCAGAGGAGCTAAGAACAAGTGCTTCCAACATGGTCAGACTGACCACTTCAGGAAAGACTGCTTTCAGCAGGACTGCCTGTCAGGCAAACCACCAGCCCCCTGTCCAGAGTGCAAGGGTGATCACTGGAGTGTAGCCTGACCCCAGAGGCAAAGGACTCCTGAGACAGTGATCCCATCAGCCCAAACTGGAGTGAGGGTGTCCAGGGCAAATTCTCATGGCTCCAGCTTGTGTCATCACCCCTCAAGAGCCCTGGGTTTGCCTCGTAGTAGAGAGCGAGGAGACAGAATTTCTTCCGGACACTGAAGCAACCTTTTCTGTACTCCTCTCTAACCCTGGTCTTTTATCCCCCAAATCTGTAACTATACAGGGGGTATCTGGAAAGCCAGTTACCAAATTTTTCTCTCAGCCTTTAAACTGCAATTGGGGTGACTGGCTATTGTCTCACGCCTTCCTAACCATGACTGAAAGTCCTGCTCCCCTTTTGGGAAGAGACATGCTAACTAAAGCAGGAACAACCATTTATATGAATATGGAACAGGAACCTATACTATGCCTTCCCTCATTAGAGACGTAAATTAACCCAGAAATGTGGGCTACCGAGGGACAGGTGGGAAGAACAAGATATGCTCAACCAGTCCAAATTAAGTTAAAAAATCCCACCATTTATCCCAATCAAAAGCAATATCCTCTAAAAGCAGATACTAAGAAGGGACTACTGCCCATAATACAGAATCTAAACTGACAAAAATTATTGATACCTTGCAATAGCCCGTGTAACACCCCTATTTTAGTAGTGATAAAGCCAAATGGAACTTGGAGACTAGTCTAAGACCTCCCCATTATAAATGAAGCAGTCATTCCTCTCCATTCTGTAGTTCCCAATCCGTATATATTATTATCTCAAATCCCTGAAACAGCTGCCTATTTCACAGTCCTAGACTTAAAAGATACCTTCTTTTGCATTCCTCTTCATGAAAACTCCCAGTATCTTTTTGCTTTTGAAGACCACTCTGACTCTAACATCCAGCTCACATGGACTGTGTTACGCCAGGGATTTAGGGACAGTCCTCACTTATTCAGACAAGCCCTAGCCAAAGACTTGAGTCATTTTTCATATCCTACAGCAACTCTTATTTAGTATACAGATGACATTCTTTTGGGAGCACCAGATGCAGAGGAATGTCACAAAGCTACTCAAGCTCTGTTAAACTTTCTAGCTCATTGTGGGTACAAAGTTTCCAAGGCTAAAGCCCAATTCTGTGTGCCTGAAGCTCACTATTAGGGTCTCCAGCTTTCACAGGGGAAGAGAGCCTTGGGCAAAGAATAGAACCAATATTGACTCACCCTGAACTTCAAACTCTCAAACAGCTTCAAGGCTGCTTAGGAATTACAGGCTTTTACAGACTCTGGAAAGCCACTGTGATGCAATGAAGGTGAAGGCCAGCACTCTCACCAGCTGAGGGGGATCCCGAGGCCTCTCCAGTCCACCAAGAGCACACCACTGGCCTGGCCTGCCCGTCATGCCAGGGAGGTGGAGCATGAGCACATGTCTTAGAAGTGTAACACATGCACGAGTCTAGGGCTCACATGACTCAGTCTAATTCACCCTCCCTAACCCCAACTTGGGAGGTCCCTTTTCTGTTATCTTGTCTTCTACAGCTGTTAAGTTATGGAAATAGATTCCTGGATACATCATTCATGAGAAAAATCCTGAAACCAACCACCTCCCACAGAAGCAGACCAAGAGAATCAACTACAGTCCACCTATGCTTTTGAGCCTAAAGAAAATTTGACAGCAAGAAAAGTGTTAATATAGTTTTCTCTCAAAATCAACCCCCTCCTCTCACTGCTCCAACCTTGCCTTTTAATGTACTAATCAGATTTGTCTTTCAGAGATAATATTATCAAACCACAGTGAAAAGAGTTCCAGCCCAGACCTGACTCTATTGCGGACCCCTGGATCACCGCTCACCTGAAGAGACCCTAATTATCCCTTCTGTTGACATAGGGTTCCCTCATTCCAGCCTGAACAAGGGACCCCAGTTTTCTGGGGCTGGGCAATTTAGTGAAGAGAATACACTAACATTTTACCTCAAGCTAGAAGAATTAACCTAAATTTCGGGACCTCTAACTGCTTCCCCATATCACCGTCCATCTTCAGCAGGAAGCAGTTTGGAGCAGTCAGCTCCCCTTTTCCCTAATAGCAGTTAGACCTTCTATTCAGAGAGGGAAGATTGATACAGGATTCCACCACCCAGGGCTAGATAGGGAGCTCCCCATTCTCTAGGCCCAGGTGCGCTCAGAGTTCAGACCCCCATTTCCAGGCACAAGCAGACTGCCTCTTTCAGGACACACCAACTGGGCCCTGAGATCTTGAACAAAGCAGCCTGTGATGGTTTTTTGGGTGGTTCCACCTCGGGTAGGAACATACACCCTAATCCCCTCTCAGGGACAAAGACTATAAAGGACCTGATAACCTCGCCCTAGTGAAGGAGAAACTACATTCATTCATTAATGCACTTATTTCCATCTACCAACTGCTAGCCTTGTGTAATCCTCTAAACTTAAGACCCCTAGATAAAGGAGCCCATGTGGAGACTCCTGAGTGAGTTCTTCAGTTCTCTCCCCCTTCCAGAAGCTCTGGTGCTTTTTACTCTTCTGTATTCCTTTCTAACTTCTAATAAAAGTCCTATCTTACCACTGGGGGGAAAAAAAAAAAATATATATATATATATATGAACAATGAAGAACAGTACAAACAATACAATAAATCAAACCCTGAAATCCTCTCCCACACCATCTGTTTATGCCTCACCAAGTTTACTCACAATTCTTTCACACACCTGGTGCCAACACAGGCTTTTCTTTCTACATGGAAACCCACCCTCTTCTTCAAACTCCTCCTTGTTCTCTGAGGCTGGCACAGGTCACATTTTCTACAAAGCCTTTTTGGCTCATCCAGACATGGCCTTCTTTCCTACAGTCCCCACAGAGGAGTCTGCACACACCTTTGGTAGAGCCCCTTCCCCATGGCAGAGACCTGCTTGGAGTCCTTATCCCTAGTCAGTGGGCAGGCTCCTTCAGCACAGGGTGGGGCTGACTCATCTTTGCATAACTGGTGCTTCTATCTGTTCCATACACATAACAATCCTCAGTATCTTTCTGTGGGACCAACAAGGGCTTTCCTTGTGGCAAACAGACTCTAAGGTGGCTCCCAGGACCCCTACCTCCCAGTGTTCATGCCCTTGGACAATCCTTCTGAGTGTGCTTGCTTCTAACCAACAGATACGGCAAAAGAGATGTAATATCCCTCCAGGGATTGTTGTTATATGACTCCTGCTTGCCGGTGGACTCAGCAAGACTCCTGAGGGTCTCCAGAGTAGGTCATCTACTCTACTCTGCAGGGTAGACGCAGTAAGCAGCCATGCTGGGAAAGCCCAAGTGGCAAGGAACTGCAAGCTGCCTTCAGGAGCTGGGGGCAGCCTGCAGCCGACAACCAACAGGAAGCTGGGCCCTCAGTCCTCCAACAACATGGGAGTGAATGTGGCAAACAACCCAAGTGACTCTGGAAGCAGGTTCTTCCATAGTCAAGCCTCCAGATAAGAATTCATCCCACTGACATCTTAACTGAAGTCTAGTGAGATCCTAAGCAGAGGACCCAACTAACCAGTGTCTATCATCTTGAGAAACACAGTAATGTTTCAAATATACACAAAGAAAGAAAAATGTGTTATTGAAACTGGTGAGGTGTGGTCATGTGTTACATAGAAATCCATCAAGACTAAAACAATCGAGTAGCACAGGATAGGTCTCCTGTTCTCCCACTTGGACACAGTTGTTTGCTGGGTTTTTGCCGTGTTGCTGTGTTCCACACAGTTATCTTCTGAAGTTCTGTCCTCAGAACGTTTAGGTTTCTCCTTTGTACTGTGGCGGGGATGTCTGCTCACCCTTGGGAAACTGGCCAAATGAGAACCAGAAAACTGCATGCGACTGCACTTGATTCTGTCTCCATTTAAGTAAAACATGATTAACACAGGATTATGATTTCTAAAATATGCTTACTGTGAATGAGCCTGGAACTTTAAAAAGATGAATCTGGACTTTTTAAATGATGGATTATACCTACCAATGTCTGCACTAGAAAGGAGGCACTGCAGCATACGTAAGAGTTCATGGGATGCTATTAGGAAATTTATGTAGCATTAACGAGCCTTAGTTTCTTCATCTGTGAAATGGGATTGCCACCCCACCAAACCCACAGTGCCACTGTGAGATAACGTACAAGAACACCCTTTACTAACTACAAAGCATCACACAAACACTAGTACATGCCATAAAGCTTATGTAGTAATATCTACAGTACCCCTGTGCTTGTCTTTTTAACTTTTTGACTTGACCTCCTCCCACAGAACATTAAGTTCTATAGAGCAGGGATTTTTATCTGATTTGTTTACTACTATATCTCCCATGCCTAGAACAATGCCTGGCACACATTCAATGCTAGAAAATGAGTGTAGGTGCGTGAATGATCATAAATGCTCCACTATATCTACACAGGTTGTTTAGCCATTACAAATTGATAAAATTCAAGGCAAATCAAATACTGAGTGTTTCTGAGAAAACAGACTTAAGGCCCAGTTGATACAATCCAACAGGGGAGTCCAAGTTCTGGGAAATAACTGTTCTCATCTCTTTAGTGCCCAATGACCTAAAAAGTACTCCAAGAGCTTCTTTGTCATGAAATCAGAGATTAGGCAGGTCCTTCTCCTAGGTCCACTTTACAAACAGTAAGCCAAAGCCTGGAATGGCCTTCAACTCCCAAATAACAAATGTACTTACTGGGTCAGAGGATTCAGGAATGGAATGCTTTCCAAAAATATGTAAACAAGTTATAGAGAAACACATATTTAAAACTAATCTGATATTCTACACATCTACTTCTATAATCCCAAAACCAGTATTGGATCCTACAGTGTGATTCATCCTAGATTCTTGCCACACAGCACAGCTGACGGCTGCAAGGCAGCCACAATATATGTCCATTTCCTCAAGGCTGCCAGGCAGGAACATTACAGCACCACCCTGTGTGCCTACCATATGTGACGTATAATTAGTTACTGCATATTAAATTTTAAAGTGCTCTCAATTATTTTCATCATTTTTTATTTATTGCATTCCAAGTCAGAGAGAACTTGGTTATTAATTTAATGAATATGAAAACTATGAGTTATTTTAAAATAATAACAGTTCTTGATATTTGTGATGACATAAAAAAACTCTGAGAATCTTACGACAGCTCATTTCAAAGTATTTTCAACGTCTAGTGGATCTTTTAACCAGTGCATTCTCTTCAATATCTAGTCATTCCCAGGAGTTAACACTACCAGTGCTCATCTGAATAACAGTCAGTAGTGAATGCCATGTTTATTTTATAAGACTTTTTAGGGTAAGAAGAAAAACGTATACACAGAAACGAAATGGGTTACCTTCTACCTTTTCCAGCTTTGCCAGGGTCAGTCCTATTGCATTGGGCCGATGAGGACTCCTTGTAGAAAAAACTCCAGTCTTTGCACCATTCAGCCTAGGAGGCTGCACTTTTGCTTTACAACTCAAATGACCATTTTTGTGAAAAACAAACAAAATCCTATTAAAAACAAAACAAACCACTGAGTAAGAAAAGAGTACAAGTTATTTTATCATAATGATTTGAGGAGGAAAATGTAATCAACCAAAAAATAACGGAAAGAATATTTTTAATTTTTTGTTTGTTTGTCCATATTGTAGAGATAAGGTCTTGCTTTATCGTCCAGGCTTGCGTGCAGTGACATCATCATAGCAATCATCAACCCCCTGCAAATGAACTTGGGGGTTCAAGATGGCCTCCCACCTCAGATTACAGGTGTCAGTCACTATGCCTAGGCTTTAACAGTATGAAACTGTAATTCTTTGGGGAGAAAATAACACCATTACCCTTCCTTGAAGGAAGACAACCTCATATCTACATCCTTTGCACATACTACAGTGACAGATAAAAGGAAATGAATAGATCTGTCAAATGCCTGAATAAACAATATTTACAGTGTTTGTTGTTTACCAGGTAATATGCTAGCAATTTTTATACTCATTTAACATAATCTTCTTAACAATCCTAAGAAGTAACCTATCCCCCATTTTAGGGATGAAAAAATTAAAGCTCAGAAATATTAAACTATTTGGCCAGACTTTCCTTAACAAGACACAAGCCATGAACAAAACAATGAACAGAGTTGGGATCGGCATGTATGGCTCAAGTGGCTAAGGTGCCTGCCACATACACCTGAGCTGGCGGGTTCAAATCTAGCCTGTGCCTGCCAAACAATAATGGCAATAGCCGGGTGTTGTGGTGGGTGCCTATAGTCCCAGCTACTTGGGAGGTGGAGGCAGGAGAATCACTTGAGCCCAAGAGTTGGAGATTGCTGTGAGCTGTGATGCCCCAGCACTCTACACAGGGCAACAGCTTGAGGCTCTGTCCTCTGTCTCAAAAAAAAACCAGATTTGAACTCATCAAATCATAAGATTTATGTACTATAAAATATCAGACTACGAGAAAATGTTTGCTACATATATTGACAATGGGTTAATATAAATTGCTCCTACAAGCTCGGCACCTGTAGCTCAGTGAGTAGGGCACTGGCCACATACACTGAGGCTGGTGGGTTCAAACCCAGTGTGGGCCAGCTAAACAACAATGACAACTACAACAAAAAATAGCCAGGCATTGTGGTGGGTGCCTGTAGTACCAGGTACTTGGGAGGCTGAGGCAAAAGAATCGCGTAACCCAAGAGTTTGAGGTTACTGTGAGCTATGACACCATGGCACTCTACCTAGGGTGACATAGTGAGACTCTTGTCTAAAAAATTTTTTAAAAATATTAATAAAATAAAATACTCCTAGAAATCACTAAGAAAAAGACAACCCAAAACAGGATACTAAGCAAAGAACATAAATAGGTGATTCAACAAAAAAAACCATAGTTAACAACCATATGAAAAGATGCAGAGCCTCACTAATAGTTAAGAAATTAAAATGAAAAACGAAATACTTTTTCCCCCATCAAGCAAAAATATAAAAAACTGATATCATATCAGTGATGGAGAGGATATAGGATAAAGAGCATTTGTATACACTACTGAAGTATAAATTGGATAATTTTAGAGGATAATTTGGCAGAGGCTCGCCAAAATTATAAATATGCATATCCTCTGGCCCAGTATATCCACTTCTGATATCTTATCCATAAAAATATAAAAATAGGCTCAGCGCCTGTGGCTCAAGAGGCTAAGGTGCCAGCCACATACACCTGAGCTGGCAGGTTCGAATCCAGCCCAGGCCTGCCAAACAACAATGATGGCTGCAACCAAAAAATAGCCTGGCGTTGTGGCAAGCACCTGTAGTCCCAGCTACTTGTGAGGTGGAGGCGGGAGAATTGTTTGAGCCCAAGCGTTGAGGTTGCTGTGAGCTGTGATGCCACCGCACCCTGCCCAGGGTAGAATGAAGCTCTGTCTCAAAAGGAGTTGGAGGTTGCTGTGAGCTTTGATGCCACAGCACTCTACCCAGACAGATTCTGTCTCAAAAAAATATATAAAATAAAATAAAATATATATATGTGTAAGTGGTCAAAAAATATGTTCAAGGGGGTTTGTCATAGTTTGACAAACCTGTAGTTCTTGATTAATAAAGAGTGTATGGTACATCTATATTTTGTAATAATATTAAATAATTTGTAACAATATTAAACCAAAACTGCCACATACTATATATGTACTATCCTGCCATGAAGGTTCTCCATGATATATACTGTTAAGTGAAAGAAACATATTCTATTTTTTAAAACAAATACTCATTCTGTATGTATTTGTTTCTATGGTACTAAAAAAAGAAAACATAAAAAGGTCTGGAAGGATCTACACCAAGAGAATCTCTGAAAAGTGCATAGGGTTGTGCATGAGAAAAGAGAAAAACAAAAGGGGTGAGGAAAAATCTCTTTATATACTTCTGAATCTGTTTTTAATATCAACAATGTTTTCACTTAAATAACTCAACCAAGAGCATACAAACAAGACCAGAATACCCACGTTCTTTCTAACCTAACCGTGTCCCTAAATTAGTGTGAAAAATAAACTATTTCAGAATAAACACTTACATTTAGGTCTCTACCAGTAAAATTAGACCAATTCATTAGACTGCTGATGTCTGAGTAGGGCACTGGCCCCATATACCAAGAGTGGCGGGTTCAAACCCAGCCCCAACCAAACTGCAACAAAAAACAGCTGGGCATTGTAGCAGGTGCCTATAGTCCCAGCTACTCAGGAGGCTGAGGCAAGAGAATCGCCTAAGCCCAAGAGCTGGAGGTTGCTGTGAGCTGTGATGCCACAGCACTCTACTGAGAGTGACAAAGTGAAACTCTGTCTCTAAAAAAAAATTCCAAATGACAGCAAGTAACAGTAGTATAACACTCAATTTAAAGTATCCAGATTTCTAAGGTCTTTTGTTATTTTAATAAGAGTAGACTTTACTAAGGTCTTAGTTCCGTAAACTTTTTCTGTAAAGGGTCAGATGGTAAATATTTTAGGATTTGAAGGCCAACAAACCAGTCACTGATACAACTATTGAACTCTGCCACTGTGGCACAAAAGCAGCCACAGCCAATATACAAGTAAATCTTAAAACAAATGGACATGACTTGTTCTCATAAAATTAATTTACAAAAAACAGGCAGTGGACCATGTTTGATCCACAGGACATAGTTACTGACCCCTGGTCCAGAAGACAGAATAATGAACCATAGGAAGAATTAAGAAAGTCTATAGTTTCAACTCAATAGAAGGCATTGTCACAATTAGAACCAACTGCAAATGGACCACACCCCTCAGTGGATCCCAAGCCTCCCTGAGAATGTCTAAATGATGCAGACAATCCCATGCACAAATATAGTACAGGAAGTGGGTGCAATACATGAGGGCACTCGGGATGGCAAACTCTAAGGTTGCCTTTACCTGGAGTACTTTACTTACAGGAAAGTTCCGGCCCAATAAAACTACTTACCAAACATGAGAAAACTGTTCTAGGCCCATCAAGGAATGTTCAGGATTATTAAAGATGCTTTTTCTAATCCTCAAACAAGCCCGGGAATGGCTACAAATGGATGGCTGCCTTGGAGTACCATTCTTGGTCGAGAAACAGGATTCCAAGTAGCCTATTGGCTCAGTTAAAAGATTCCCTACAGAAGAAAATTAGGTAAGAAATCATTAGTCAAAAGGTCAAATGAAGTTGTAAGAAAAATGTTCCCTCTAATGTACTGATTCCATAGTTTTAAAGTCTCCTAGGTGTTATCCAATTATAAAAAATGACTTTTTAGCCAGGCATGTTAGTGTGTACGTCTATAATCCCAGCTATTCAGGAGGATTGCATGAATTCAAGGTTACAGTAAGCTATTATTGGGCCACCATACTCCAGCCTGGGTGACAAAGACCTTGTCTTTAAAAAACAAAAAACAGCCAGGCATGATGGCTCACATCTATTACCCTAGCACTGTGGGAGGCTGAGGTGAGAGACTGCTTCAGCTTGGGAGTTCAAGACTAGCCTGAGCAAGAGTGAGACCTCATCTCTACTAAAAATAAAAAAAATTAGGCTTGGTGCCTGTGGCTCAAGTGGCTAAGGTGCCAGCCACACACACCTGAGCTGGCAGGTTCGAATCCAGCCCGGGCCTGCCCAACAATAATCACGGCTGCAACCAAAAAATAGCCAGGCATTAGGCACCTGTAGTCCCAGCTACTTGGGAGGTGGAGGGGAGGCAGGAGAATCACTTGAGCCCAAGAGTTGGAGGTTGCTATGAGTTGTGATGCCACAACACTCTACCCAGGGAAAGCTTGAGGCTCTGTCTAAAAACAAATAAATAAATAAATAAATAAACCAGGCATTATATTGGGTACCTACAGTCCCAGCTACTTGGGAGGCTAAGGCAGGAGGATCACTTGACCCCAAGAGTTTGAGGTTACTATGAGCTAGGCTGATACCAGGGCACTCTAGCCTAGACAACAGAGTGAGACACTGGATCAAAAAAAAATAAGTTTTTTTCAGTATTCATGAATACATATAAATATTCCCATCATTATATATACAGAGTAATATCCTTTCAGATTACACTAGAACAGGGGTGGGGAACCTGTGGACTTCTAGGTCCTTAAGTGCAGCCTTTTGACTAAATCTGAACTTTACTAAACAAATCCTTTTATTTTTATTAATACATTTTTGTTCATCTTTTATAATTTTATTTATTAAATGAACATATTTAAAATACGAAAAATAAAATAAGTTTCAATGAAATAATCCTCCCAGATTGACCAGCACAATTAGAAGTTTATAAGCCATAAGGGCTATACTCATGATTTATATAATTTTTATTTTTTATTTTTTTATTTCTTTTTTTTTTTTGAGACAGAGCCTCAAGCTGTCCCCCTGGGTAGAGTGCCATGGCATTACAGCTCACAGCAACCTCCAACTCCTGGGCTCAAGTGAGTCTCCTGCCTCAGCCTCCCAAGTAGCTGGGACTACAGGCGCCCGCCACAACGCCCGGCTATTTTTTGGTTGCAGCCGTCACTGTTGTTTGGCGGGTCCGGGCTGGGGATTCGAACCCGCCACCTTAGGTGTACGTGGCTGGCGCCTTAGCCGGTTGAGCTATAGGCGCCCAGCCATAATTTTTATTTTTAACTCAATCAGCTTCAAACATTATACACTCATGATTTAGTTCTAATTTCCCCTACCTGACAGGCACCACTACCAGACCAGGGTGACTGGTGAAGAGTTTACGGGGGTCAAGTATGCCCCTCTGTGATTAGCTTCTGACAGTTGTGCACTGTGTTTGTGTCTCAAGTACAATTTGTAAACAGGTGCACAGCTCAACAGTATTTTATAATTGTCTGCCTAACAGTTCATTAAGTCAAGGAAGAAAACAGATTTTTTTTTTTAGAGACTCTGTCTCACTTTGTTGCCCTTTGTAGAGTGCGGTGGCATCACAGCTCACAGCAACCTCCAGCTCCTGGGCTCAGGAGCCCGACACAACACCTGGCTATTTTTTGTTGCAGTTTGGCCAGGGTCAGGTTTGAACCCACTACCCTCAGTATATGGGGCCAGCGCCATACTCACTGAGCCACAGGGGGCGCCCGAAAACAGATTTTTTAATGAGGATTGGGAGTTGCAGTATTATCTTGTTTCTGCTAAAGATAAGATGATTGGTTTCCCTGTGATACTGCAATATCAACATTAAAGAAATTCCACTGTGATTGGCTGGAGGATAAAACATAAGGCAGAGAGTAAGAAAAGAAGAGGTGACAGTGCCCAGGCAAAGTGGCTCATGCCTGTAATCCTAGCACTCTGGGAGGCTGAGCCAGGCTCAAGATCAGCCTGAGCAAAGCAAAACCCCATCTCTACTAAAATTAGAAAAATGTGCTGTGTGTGATGGCACAGATCTGCAGTTCCAGCTACTCAGGATAGCAGGAGAATCACTTATGCCTAGGAGTCTAAGGTTGCAGCGAGCTATGATGACACTACTGCATTCTAGCCTGGGCAACAGAGACACTTTGAGTAGCTAGGACGCTAGGTAAGCACCACCATGGATAATTTTTTCTATTTTTAGTAGACATGGGGTTTCACTCTTACTGAGGCTAGTCTGAAACTCCTGAACTTAAGCAATCCTCCCAACCCAGCCTCCCAGAGTGCTAGGATTACAGGTGTGAGCCACAGTGTGAGTAGACTGCTTGAGCTCATGAGTTCAAGACTGCCCTGAACCAGAGCAAGACCTCGTCTTTAACATAAACAGCTGGCGTTGTGGTAGGTGCCTGTAATCCCAGCTACTTGCAAAGCTGAGGTAAGAGAATCACTTGAGCCCAAGAGTCTGAGGTTGCTGTGAGCTATGATGCCACAGCACTCTACCGAGGGCACTTTGTTGCACAAACAAAACAAAACAAAACAAATATATTATTAGTCTAAGTTCCATCCAAATTATGTATGTTTTTGATGGTTCTAAATTTTTTCCACAAGTTTTTACAGTCATTTTTTCTGACCCATGCATCTGTGATATTTAACATCTTAAAAATGAAGAAACTAGTCTATGATCGACATACTCTTATCTGACAATGGGAATATTACTTTTTTTTGCATTATTATTATTGCTCAATATTTTGTTGCAGCAATAGTCTGATTTCTTTTCTGAATGTATTTATCTTTGTTCATTCTTTACGAGGTTTGTGTTTCTAGTCCTTATCTTAAATATTGTTATTGTCATTAAATTTTAAGCCTTTAAAAAAAAATGAAGAAACTGAGGCTAAACAATCCGATGTTCTTAAAATGTCAAGAAGAAAAATGGCCCAAAGGACTCTTAGTCACAGGATCTCCACTGTCCTGTTTTCACTTGTTCAAGAAATATTTTCCAAGTGTCTACAATCGCCAGACCTTGTGCTAAATCTGGAGAAAAGTTACAAAACAAGAACGCTTATCACAGTGGAATTAACCACTGGAGAGAATCTCACATTATGCTTCATTATCACGGGACATGTCACAGCAGTGATAGAATTAGATTTGTGCCTTTGCCGTTTTTGATTTATTTTGCCTATAAATTTATACTGATGTACCACTTAATTGAATCAGTTTACACCTGTTTTTCACAGGTTACACATATACTATGATAAACGCATGGCTACCAAGAAGATTTATTCCAATCCTTTTTGTGCATCTCCATAAAAGCATAAGCAAAGTAATGCTGGGTTAGCAATGAATTGAAAGCATACCCAGGAGCTACTTTGTACGAGTACTATGCCACTCTTAGTACCACTGTCTGAGTACCACTGTCTTAGTGTCAACATCTGGGACCACTGTCAAAATATCAAACGTCCATATTCTAAAATATGTGAACTCTTCTAGAACCTATTTATATATTCTTTGTATGCACCTTTGGGGATAATAAATGCTATGAAATATAAATGCTCAATAATTTCCTTCCTCTTGCCTCATATCTCAAAAAAACAGTAAGCACCTACCAGTTGGTAAGCGCTGTGCTAGGTACTTGGGGTACAAAGGTAAGTAAGAACCAGTTCTCACCCTCACAGGCTTCCACTGTACTGACAGAGATGGGCAAGTAAATCAACAATTCTAGCAAAGTGCCTACCATGCAGGGATAGAGATAAGCACTGGTAGATTAGATAATACTGGCACTAGAACTATACAAAAGCAGTAGTCCTTCAAGGGAGCTGCTTTTACCCCTTTCCTCTTCTGATCCTAGTCCTAACCTTACCATACTCCTTTAAAGAACTACTTTCCCCACTTTTGCATGGTTCCAGTGCCAGTATTAGTCTGATGGGCAGCTTATCTCTCTTAAATCAGTTTTCTCATCTATAAATCAAGAACAATGCCTACCTTGGGGGGGAAGCTGGAAGAGTACTAATAAAATACATAAAGCACTATGATAGAAGAGCAGTAAGGAGAGGGTTTTAAAAGCCCTTGCTCAAGCTTTTTCTTCATTTTAACATTACAACTGTACTAACTGTGTAATAAGTAAAACACCAGAAAGTTATTAATGTGGAGTTTTTTGTACAAGGCTTATCTGCAAGGTTTGCGGTAAAAAAAACTTCAGGTCTTTTTCATCCAATTATCCTTGTTATACTTCTCTTGCCAATTCAAGACCCCCCCCTTGTCAAAACACAGGAGACCAAACTTTTACACTCCTGGAGATTCTTGCATTATGCCACTCTTTAAATGTTTCATGTTCCCCGCTGTTAACAGCCATCGTGTTTCTTTTCTTTTCTTTTTTTTATGGTGAAAAGTTATATATTTAGAATTAGCCAGCTGAACTTTGTTTAGATGATCCCAATTTTGTTGGCAACATCCAAAGCATCATAATCATGAGCCAGTGGAACATATGCCTTCTTCTCACCATCGGGCCTGATGAGGGTGTTGACCTTGGCCACATCAATATCATAAAGCTTCTTCACAGCCTGTTTGATCTGGTGCTTGTTGGCTTTGACATCCATAATGAACACAAGTGTGTTGTTGTCTTCTATCTTCTTCATGGCAGACTCAGTGGTCAGGGGGAACTTGATGATGGCATAGTGGTCAAGCTTGTTTCTCCTGGGGGTGCTCTTCCGAGGATATTTGGGCTGCCCCTGGAGCTTCAGAGTCTTTGGCGCCAGAAGGTGGGTGATATACGGATCTTCTTTTTGTGGCTGTGGATGCCTTTTAGCACTGCCTTCTCGGCCTTCAATGCCTTTGCTTTGGCTTTGGCTTTGGGAGGGGCAGGAGCTTCCTTCTTTGCCTTCCGCGCCATCTTGTGAAAAGACCCGCCATCATGTTTCTTTGCCTGGTCTTCAAGGTTCACCACCATCTGAATCCAACCAAAGGTTCTCACTTTCCTGTTCCATCCAACACTTCAGACTTGTAGCTCTCCAAACCCAGGCTTGTAGACCTCTGAGTCCTGGATTTTGCTCTTTGGGCCCTGTCAAAATATTAGACCTGCAAGCTGATAGCGCACAACATATTCTTTAAAACAAGCACAGTCTTTGACTACTTCAAGGCAATTTAACGAAGTCCAACATTCAGAACAGTACATAAAAATTTCAATTTCAAAAACAATGAAAACTGGCAAAAAACCTAAATCCCCAACAATAGAGAACTGTAAGCCAAAAAAATGAGAGCAGACTTCTAAAACAAGATAGCACGCAACCTAGTAAAATTAATCACCATGGGACGATTTTCATAAAATTTAAATTAAAAGTGTAAAACAGTGGGGTTGCGTTAAAGATCATTTTCCTAGTAGCGTGTGTAAAATGAACCAACTATAGAAGGTAGACACCAAAATATTAACAGTGATTTTCTCTGGGTATTGGAGGGCTTTTTAAATTTCCTTCTATTTGCTTCTTCCAGCTCCTGAAACCAATATACTGTGCTCTCTACAAAGAGATGCAAATAAACAGAAACAAATTCGGTGCAAATAAACAGAAACAAATTCATGTCAATCTTTCCAAGCCCGGTTTGAAACGACAAACTCCTCCAAACTTTCCCCATTCTCCTTTCTCATTTCTCACAGAGGAGGATCCCTCTCTCTGGTATTTATTAATTCCTAACTGTCACGACGCCAGGCATACATGTCCCATCTCCTCTACAGCTGGGAGAACACTATGCATAGAGTGACCAGACTCCGCTTTTTAACAATTTGTCCCGCGTCCCGCGGCGTTTTAAAAAAGTCCCGATTTTTGGAAAGAATGCGCGAAGGGGCGGGAGAACAGGAAGGAATATACGGTTTTCGGCTACCACGTGGCTATTTCGCCAGAATATGAGTTTTATATTATTTTTGTTAATTTTATAATGTTAAACTGTAATAACAAATAATTGAGAACTGCTTATCAAAGTTTGCATTGTTGTCAGGCCCTGCCCTGCCCCGACCCCGGCCATGTTGTCCCGCTTTACAAACGTTAAAATCTGGTCACCCTAACTATGCAGCACTCGGCTGTTCTAGCTACCCAGCCAAAACTAGGACAGTACCTGCCCAGTACCAAGACCAGAGCGCGCGAGATGACGTCACTCCGCTCGGCTCCGACCGTCACGTGATCATCGGAGCACGTGACCCATGCCTTAGCGGTAGGCCAGAGGGTGACGCGGGTCAGCTCGAGATACGGCATTTCACAGCCCTCTCGTCAATAGAGTCGGCTGTCTGGACTAAACCTCTCCTGAATGCCGCATCGCTAGTTTCTTGGACGTTACCTGTCTCCAGAGCCGGCTTCACGCAGCCGCACGGGGTCGCTGTGGCCCTAGGCTTCGGCTCCTCCAAGCCGCGCATGGTTCCTGGTCGCTGAGGGAACCTACCCAACACGTCAAGACTTCCGCTTCCGCTCTCTATGCCTGACGCCTGCGCGGTAGCCGCGCCGGCTGGCTGTCTCGGGTCCCGGAGGGTGTGTGCTAAAGACATCGCCGCTGGCAGCGCGGAGGTGTCTGGTGGAGTGCTCAACCGTCTGGGCCCGGTGTTCGTCCCGGATCCAGATCTTGATTCTCCCGCCCTCTCTAGTCAGCCGGGCCTCCGAGTTTCTGCGCTTCCGACGATGCGTCCGTCAGCCAGGAATTACGAGTAAAGCTGCATCTCTCCATACGTTATTAATAATAAGCAATATACCTGTTTAGCAAAAAACCCTAACTTTTTAATAAACAGAGTGTATATGTGTGATTACAATAGAGCAGAAGGATCTGACGTTAAGAAATGTTAAGAATTCTTCCTTGTTCGGGTGCAGGGGTCCACGCCTGTAATCCTAATGTTTTGGGCGGTGGAGGCCGGAGGATGGCTTGAGCCGAGGAGTTGGGAGACCAGCCAGGGCAATAGGGAGACTGCGTCTGTACAAAAAGCAGAAGATTCAGCTGAGCTTGCCCGCCTGTAGTCCCAGCTACTTGGGAGGCAGTGGCTGGAGGATCGCTTGTGTCCAGGGGTAGGCGGTTGCAGTGAGCTATATGATGTCACCAGTGCACTCTAGCCCAGGCGAGTGAGCAAGCCCCTGTCTTAAAAAAAAAAGAAAAACAAAATTCCCCTTGGGTGGAGGGAACGCAGAGATGATTATATTTACTCTGTATGCTGCATTTTTTCCATAATAAAAACGATATTTTGATTGAAACTCAAAGTACACCTTATTTCAGATGTGATAGACATTATAAAGTAGACCACACCACACTAGGCTTAAGGAATGAAGACTATTTCTTGTGCTCCATACCTTACCGGCACTAATGGAAGAAATGATGTGTGTCAACGTGCCGTGTACATTGTCGGGGTTATTGTTTCGAGGGGGGCTGAAAAATTGAAGTCCAACAGGGAACATTTTCTTTCCGTGCGATGACCAGTTGTACCCGCTGATAACCTATTCTTTGCCCGTTTACTTACATGTAATGCCATTTCTCACATACAACAGGTCTGTCTTTTTCTGTGCTTTTTATCCTGTTGCTTCAGGAAAAAAAAGTATATTACCTAATATAACATGTTAAAAGCATACAAGTGCCCATATTAAGAAGCCTAACAACCATGAAAAGCTGTTTCTGTCACTTGCCATCGATTGCTAGAAAATAACCAACAGGAGTCAAAGGTTTAAAAAGATTGTGGTTTTAAAATAACTAAAGTTGATCAAACTGATCCACATAGTGTCTTCTGGCAGAACAAGTATTGTCTTCTACATAACAAGTTGAAAAGGTCTGCCATTACTGTGGTTTTGGAAGGAACAGTTAAGCTGGACAAACAAGTTTGAGAGCCATACTCGTGTATACCAAAATATATTGTAAAACGGGGCCGAAGTAATTGCACTTGCCACTAGATGGTGGTATTGCTGAAAGGTGAGAGTCTCGCTTAATTTGGGGAAAAACTGGTGTTGAAAGATAGATATTTGCCCTCCTGGAGGGCGGATAGACGCTAGATAATCACACAGGAAATACAAATTACCAAGTGTGACAAGTGCTGAAATGCAAAGATGACTAGAAGACACTAATGAAGTAGATTGGTACCTCTTTCAATGGTAAAATTTCTTTTCACTGAGAACAGGAACCACAGCATTTTTATTAAATTCTGACTTCAAGCTTTTATCCTACCCAGAGTTATATTATTGCACTGATCGTAAGTTAGAAATAAAAAACCGATTATTTCTAGCTTCTAGTTACAGCCATTGTACTTAACATGAGAGGAGAGCAGCAAAGAGTAGAGCTAGCTGGATTCTT